TCCATTCAAAATATAAGTTTTCATATAACTTCATGATGATATCATACATTCTTAACACAGACATGCAATTACTGTTTTCTGTCATGTAGCAGAAAAAAAAACACATCCTTTTTCATCCATCTAGTGGGATTTTACTTGCTTTGAAAGAATTGTAAGGCAATATAAACTAAGTATTAAATTATATGAAATATTTTAGACTTTTTTCATTATGGCAGAAAAGAATAAGTGCAGACTTTCTTAGCTCCATCAGTAATTGGTTTATTTACATGTCTAACTGCTAAGAATATTTAGGCATCATTAGTATCTCACCGATTCCTTTGTGCTGTAGTTTCTAACAAAGTTGCTAATAATTGGTGCACAGAGTGCACACAAGTAACTTGCTTCAGATGAACTCTGCTTGTGCACTGTAATCCATTGTTCAGTGAAACATTCTAGATTAAAAACCACACAAAATTCCTGGGAATTATTATCGGTCCACAACTCCATACACATTATGGTGGCCCCCAATTCATTAATTCCAATATCTATGACATAATTATTTTAAAAGCTGGCAAAAAGGAGGATTCAGTAGAAAGAATACTAGACTAAAAGTAGTGAGACATGAACTCTTAACTCCTTTCTCTGACCACTTATTTAAATCTGACAGGTCACTTTGTATCTTTCATCTTTCAGTTTCTGAAGCAGTGAAAAGATTGCATATTTTAAAGGCTTATGGTAACCTTCCATAGAGAAACTAAATGCAGTGTTTGCATATTCAGATGTTTAAACTGTTTGATTCTGGAACATAATTAGACAACAGTTTTAGGGAAAAAAAAAGTCAGTGTAATTGTCTGCAGTACACAAAAGTCCCTGGTAAAGTCACTGATAATAAAGCAGGTCAAAGTCATTAAACATAAGAAGATTTGCAACCTGGCTGGTATTCTTCTGTCTTTCATTGCCTGATTTCTCTTTTCTTCACTGGGCATACTACATTTCTCCTTCCAGGAGATCAATGCAAGCTTACAGAGATCACTAGTCCAGATGAAAAATAGTTTGTCAAGAGATGAAATACTTCCAGTGATATGACAATGGACTATTTGTGGGTGCTAAGCCTGAAAGTATACAAGCAGGACAGAACTACAGAAGCAAAATGATTCAACTGGTGATGCTCACAACTTGCAGAAAGTTGTCAGTTTAATCCATACAGCACGTCTGAGCTCTGAGAGTGAGCATCATGTAAGAAGTGATAATCCTTCACTTAACAGTTGGACAATTCACAGAGGAGAATTTTTCAATGGATCCTTCCCTGGCAATTACTAATTTGCTTGCTGCACTTGTCTGGCACAAAGGTTCCACTCTGAAGCTTTAAAAGACACATTAAATGAACAATGGCAAACAACTATGCATTTATTGGCAGTTCCAGCATCACAGTGTGTAATGAGCAGTTGTCTTAGCTGCTTCACCATGGTCTGTACCACAAGTTGCCAGGTAATCTCTGCTCTGGTGCCTGAAACACTTCCTCCTCCTTCTTCTCCTTCTTCACTGACCTTGGTGCCTGCAAGGCCCTTTCTCTCACATATTCTCATTTCTCTCTCAATCTGCACCTGTGGTGTCTGGGGTTTTTTTACCACTTCTTGAATACCTTATCCCAGAGACTCTACCACTGTTGTTGGGCTTGGCCTTGGACAGTGGTGGGTCTGTCTTGGAGCCAGCTGGCATTGGCTCTGTTGTACACAGGCAAAGCTTCTGGCAGATTTTTACAGAAACCAACCCTGTAATCCCCCAACCACCACGGGACTGACATGCAAATCCAATACAAACTTAAATTTACATTTCAGGGGGCACAAAAATGTACTCCTTTCTTTTGTTGTGATTGCTGTGTGTCTAAAACTGACCACTGACTACTATTTTCAGTTTCTTAAGCTGTATTGAATCCTCCTTAAATATTTTACTAACTATAGAATGATAAAGTAATTAATTTTAAGAAAGGAAACAAATACTGAGACTCTGATAGGAATAATATAATTATTGTCCAAATGACAGCAAGAGCTATAATTTTTTTTCCTTTTTATTAGTCAGCCTGGCTCACTGTTACTTCATGAGAAAATGTATTGCAGATAATGCTACGACATATAATCTGATACAGGGCTCCAGACAGCTATTTCTGCTCAGAAATTAACTCAGATTAATGTGGCGATAATTGTTGGAGCTCAGTTACATGTTTTAGCTAATTAAAGGCTGAGCGAAATGCCATAGAAGAGACAGTAACATTTGTTAACAAGAACACACTAATGATTTGGCTGTCCTGATTGATCTCTGAAGAGGTTAAAAAGCTAGAGCTTTTGGAGAACTAGTAAATATGTCAAAACTGGGTTATTCTTTATCTTGCTTACAACACAGAAAGAATCGTGCCTTGCAGAACAACGCAGAAAGAATCATGCCTTGCAGAATATACCACCTTAAGGAGTCTTTTTGCTGTGCCTTTTGCAATCGGACGTGTCTATCTCGTATTGGCCTTTTTAGCCACCAGCGCGCTTGTAACAAACGTGGGTAGAGCCCTTCCCAAATCTTTGTTCGCGATGCCCAGCCATGATTATCTTGCTTAAAAGAAAGAAACCATATTTCATCTCATCAATAAATATGAGGAAAAAAGTAATTATTACTCCACATATTTCCTAATATTACTCATAATTTTTATGTGTTGTAATCCTTGTTCTTATATTTTTTCTATCTAGGTTAATAAATTTCATTTTCTTGTGTTTCTTGCAGTTGTCTCCTTCTAATAATTTTGAGCTCTGCTGAAGCAATATAAACCAATTTAACACAGGAAAAGCAGTCTCAGGGCTACATTATGTATTGTGTCAGGCATATAATTTGCTTATATCAAGTAAAACTGTTGTACATAATAATTTGATGATCTCTCTCAAAAATAAATGCAAATTCAACGTAAAATTAAATATATTTATTAAATTAAAATTTCCTCGTTTTAAATCTGAATTAAGGTCATAATTTGCCTAAAATAATTTTACTTAAGAAGCATATCCTTGGACTCACTGTCTTATCCTGTCCACGTGATCAAGTAAGTTACTATCTTTCCTTCTTAAAGTGCAATTTAACATCATTAGATTTAGCTAACGGAAAGTGCAAGCCACTCATGATTCTGAACATTACCTTATACTCAGATTAAATCTTAAAATAATAATTTGATTAGCAAGACCTTGATCTGGATACTATGAATATTCCATCCAGCCAGTTTTAAGAAAGGAAATTTTGGCCATGTTTCAAGAAAGATTTTCTGGTTGTGTAATCTCCTCATCGGTCTTGTGATCAAACCTTTTTTTCACTGAAGAATTTTGCAGCTTTTTGTCTATTAAAACCAATAAATTTGGGTCCATATCATTATGTTAATTCCAACATATGTGGGATTATACAAATTCTTAATGAAATAGTCATTGAAGTTTATGAGTCATTTTGTCCATCAAAGAAATTTTTTCATGTTTGCAGACCTTTTCACTAATGACAATTGCCTTTCAGCAGCAAAAGATTGGAAAAAAGGAAACATTATCGATCCTTTTCCCTAAGTACGATGCTACCATAAAATGTTGGAAATCTGACTTTGAAAAATGTGCGACAGAAATGTATGAGGCATTTTTATAGTTATTCTAAAATGGAAGGATGGTAAGATTATGATAGTAAAGCAGAGAATCAGAAGATGCCATTTCTTTGCACTGATTAGCAGCCATACAAGTAATGTGACTATTTAGACCTATTTTCCCATTATATAAAACAGGGATTTCAGTTTAATTCAAAAGATTATTTAGAAGATCAACTCCTTGTGAACTTGAAGCATGTTCTTGATGAATGTTACATAAGTTTACGGAAGACATTACCTAAAACTGGGATAGTTTAGACATCTGACATGTGTTTGCATTCAGAACAAATTTTGGGTAGTCTTTCAAAAATACATTTTAGAGCAAAAGGAAAAATAAGTCAGTGTGTGGAAAAAAGACCTGATTTTCCAAGGTAAAAGACACAAAAAGATAGTTGAGAAAGTCAATTCTGCAAGACAAAATGAACTATGCTTTTTATTATGATGATGATTCCACTGTTAGTACAGAAAGAACATTTCAGTCACTCTGCTGAAGTGGGAGTCTCATTTTACTTCAGAGTTTTGATTTGCTTTAAAGGAGGACACTTCACACTTTGGTAAAATAATATCAGCCAAAATACATCTTGCTGTGTCTGTCTACAGTGGATGTTATTCATTCTGTCAAAGCCAGTAGAAAATCTGTATCCTTACCCTGTATAATAGAAAACAATTTTTAAAAGAGCACTGATCTTTCTTGCTATATGTGACTTGCTTCTAGCAAACTACAAATTCAGTTCCAGACTCCACAAGTCCAATCTTATGTTGTGGCCTTTATCTTATATTGTAATTCCTCTTAGATGAACTGAAAAAACTTCTACAGAACTCGTGTAAGTAAATGAATTTACAACTGAGGATTATTTTCAGTGATTTTTCATAAATGGAATGCCATAATGTTACTGCTACTTAATTATGGTTTGATTTTTGTGAAAATTATATATTGACCAAATATAACTTTCTGATTAAATTCTCAACAATTCAAAAGTTTCCAGTACTTATCTCCTGTTACCAGAAAGACATCAACTGGACAGATAAAAAGACCACATACTCTTCAGAGAAGAAATTATACAACTTTTTCTGCTGTCTGCAATGGCCCTGAGCAACAGTCTATGTTTTGTAACTAATAGAAGTAATGAAAAAAGATGGATGTGATTACAGTAAAGTAAAACTGTATTTCTAATGAGCACCTTCTATCTAAATTGCAGGTATACAAAACCAGAAATGAAGCTGTTCTGAATATTCACCCTTAAGGTGAATCATTTGCTGGGTAATGAAATCCTCTGCAGTAAACTCAAAAAACACCCTGTACCAGCAGAGCAAAGGCCAGTTTGAAGCATGCTTCATAGCCCTTAGCTATGAAGTCCATAGCTATCTGGCAAGCTTGGAGTAAGAGCCGATAGCTCTTACTATTCAATTTAATTTCTTTTTATTCAGAGTATGTATTTCAACTTATCATTAACTGCTGGATGACAAGACAGACAAGGTAAAGGTCATTCATTAACACAGTGTTATCTAATTAAATTCAGTTAAAGTATTGATCACATTGATGGTAAATAAGTTAGATTCAGACAGCCATTGTACCTCCAGGCCTTATAAGCATTTTACTGTCATGTACTTGGTATTTTTCAAGAGGAAATATTTGCACTCCTTATCATTGTCAGAATTACAGTGTTTCTCGTGAAGTTATAATTTTTTGTTTATGCATGTTAATTTTGTAAATATTATGTAATCTAATGTCTAACTGCAAATTAAGTAATTGCTTCAGTGCTGATTGATGCAATAGATCTACTGAAGCAAAGATCTTGCAATTACAAATTAAATTATTAGATAACTTTGAAGTGGCTTTAAAAACTCTATTTATGGAAATTGCTAGGAAATTATGCTCAAGCAACAGGACAGAAAATGGAACAATATGAAAGGCAGGAAAGAGCACCAAACAGTAAAAGTGTTTCTTTGACTATCAGGCTTATGTTTTGTGTTCTGCAGCTACCAAACAACCATGCTCTAGTGAGATATAATTACCATTTAATAGCTGTCAATATGTTCAATTACTTATATTTACTTTTTTGTCTGGGTCTACATGCTGTTTGGGAATAAAACAACTGCTAAACTAAAAGGTAGTATTGCACAGCCTAAAAACATAAAATTGTGTGATGACTTACCTTTTTAAATTCGGAATTTAATGTGGGAGCATTAAAATTTCTCAAAACTAGTCATGATGGTTAATAGTGCCTTTTCTTATTTTAGCTAATATTGGGATTTCTTGCTTATATCAAGATCTTGTTATCTTATATCCAACTAATATCAGGATCTATTTGAAAAAAGTCAATCCAGTGGATAATGTCAGGGAAAAACTAGTTAAGATAACTCTTTCCCTATTAGGTAACTCATGAAGTACAATATGTGAAAGTATGCTGTACTTTTTTTTTTAACAGGAATGCTTGAATTTCTGGACTACCAAGAGGTAAATTGTTACCAAAAACCATGTGTCTTCCTCTATAACTTTAGTTTAATCCTCGTATATTCTTTCAGAGTATGTTACTGGATTGTCACATATTCCTCAGTATATTTCATAGACCTCAAAAAGGAAACACTGAGCTACCCATAGAGATGAATTTTAACCAAATTTGTACATTGTGATTAAGGGAGAGAGGTAGCTCATTCTTTAAAGAATTATTTTCATTATATAGCTCAAGCTGCTATTTCCCCAGCTTTTGTATACTCTAAATAAAATTTTTCCTCACAGCATTTATTTTTCTTGATAAAGTTTGAAGGCAAGTAACAGGTTCAATTCCACTTTTCGTGACTAAATAGCACTATTTATTTTTACTGGTGTACAACAGAAAAGTTCACAAGCTGGAACTCTCATCTTTTCAAGAGGACAGAAAATGAGTTTTTCACTGCCCATTCTTCTCCAGTTGTCATTTCTGTTTCATTATCTTCCTTTTTCTGTAAATTTGTTCCTATGGTCAACTTTTCATTGTACTTTTGCTTTTATTTTTTGTTATGTTCTTTCTCTTTGTAAATTCCTATTGAAGTTTTTCTTTTGCTATGGTACTATTCAGCTTGACATAAAAGCATGATCACATGTTCCCAGTCCTTCAAATCTTGAGCTGTTGTCCTGAATCTTTTCTTATATAATTGTAATATGACTTGGGCTTTCTTTTCAATTCAGTAAGATTTTTGGTTCTGTGTGTGACTCTGTAAGAAAAAGAACATCTTCATGAACTAACATTTTCATCCAGCACTTTGTGATGAATAGATGCCTGGTTTTACCCTGTATTTTTTTAGGATAGAACTTAATAATCATTGACGTGGTTTTCTAGCTGTGTGATCACTTTTTAATACCAGAGAATGATATCTTGAGGAAGTTGTTCAGGAATTTGACTGGGATTTAGTTGAAGAATTCCTCCTAGGTGAGTAATGTTTCCTCAGCAGCTGTTCTGATAACTCTTTGGTATTTGCTCCTGTGGACTGAGCAGAGATTATTCTCCTCCCTGAAACACATTTAGTAGGCACCCATCTTGTAATGTCACAGTCTGTTCTAATAAATAGCAAGGATCTTGAATTCACAAGTATCTGCTTCTCTCATGATCTGAGAGGACTTTGTTCAAAATGTCAACTTCATATCATTAATCGCACATTATAAGATTCACAGATATTAACCTTAACTTACTGATTATTAACCCTACATTACTTTGAGGGGAAAGGAGGAATAATAAATCACTTACAAATGACACTGACAGTTACATGAAAATTTTAAAAAATAAGAAAGTAATTGATCTTATATTTAATAAACTTATTGACACATATCAATTAAATTCAACTGTGATATACGCAAGCCAAGGTCAAAGCAGGTTAAGATGTAAATACCTATCACATTAAGAGGAATTCAGTCATATTACTATCAATAATTCAGCTTACATTTGTCTTTCACCACACACCTTTATTGCAATAAACAAATTGTTCTAAATTCTTCCTTTTTCCTTTTAATGAATTGTGCACTGAAAGTTGCATATTTCCCCAGTTATATTTTTTGCTGAAAGTTATGCACCTTTTATTTTCTAGAAAAAAAATCATCATGATGATAAGAGTTAGTTGATATTAAATCAGTTTGCTTGCTTCTTTGTTTGGAACAATAAATTTAATTTTCTGAATAAACTTTTGTTTGTAATTTCTCATTGAAAACAAGTTCTAAAGTTTGTAAGGATTCACAGAGAATTCTGTTTCATGCCTAATGGTGAACAAGAGTAAGTATAGGAAAAGTTTAATTACCAATATTATCAGGAAAAATCAAAATGACGTCATATTCATATTTTTTTATCAATTTAGATTTTTAATATATGTTAGATTTTCATCCAAATTTTCTTGCGCAATAAGATCTGGTATTTATTAAAGAAAATTTGTCTAAAGGAAGATTTAGAAGCAAACAGAAGACTAGAAAATCTTGTTATATTCACTGTCCCTCTTCCCCAGGTGATAGTAGGAATTTGAAATAAATGCTTAAATAAACATTATCTCCAATGTGGAGATTATTATAAGAATATCAATCTTGTATTAATCAGGCTAGTTCAAAATTATGAGACCATTGTTTGTAGTCTTTCTGTTGGAATTTATTAAGGACTACAGACTAAAAACCCCAACACCTCTCCTGAGAAACTGCAACAACAGAATTACGTTTCTGCCAAGTCACTTTTTTAGCATTTAATTTTCTTTTAAGAAACATTCCCAAAAGGCCATAGATCTAACAATAGAAAGTGCCCACTCAGACCCCAGCTGGAATTGAGTCTCAATAAATATAACAATATTGCAGACAACCCAATGCTTGCTAATTGTTGTAAAACTGCCAGCCTGAAAATGACTGCATGCTGCAATATGTGTTGTACTGACACTGAAGAACTGTTCAATGAGATGGGGGGAAATAGTTTAGGTACAGTTTCTTTGCATTTGTCAGATTCTTATTATTACAATAAATTAATTTCTTAGTTCAACAGACCTTTCTCTTGTTTCCCAGAGATGTGTTTTAACAGTCATGTTAAAACTCTACATGTTATCAGTATATTTTGAATATTTTCTGTGAATACTTTATTAGTAATTGACATATTAAGCCAGCTTTTATTTCTTCAGTATATGAATATAAATGTTCCTCTCACCATAATAAATAATTCAAACTGAACAGGCATTTATAAATGAACCACATTTAAAATCAAATTTATCAAGCACTACTGAAAAGTTTAATCTAGGAATCTCATTTGTTTTACAAGCTCCCCAACCAAGGATTATAATTATTTTAAAAATATTTTAAATTGCACTGGTATTTTCAGAAGAAATATTGAAGGCAGAAGAATTACAGAAGACATTTTTTCACTCCAAGATAAAGTTTTTTAAAAATTCATTGTCTGTCTAAAGTGCACACACTGTATTTAATAGCATAAATGAAACAGTTTGAAAACAGACAAACCCAAGGGTGAGTTATGTTTTTATCCTGAAATTACAAGCTCCATGCTGGGATTAGTTACAGTACATGTAACCTACAGATAGAGTAACTCAGAGTTTATTAATACTCTGATAGTCATTTGTCTTTTAATTCCTGTTGCAGAATTTTAACAAGATAATTATGTTTTTCTCCACTTCTTCCTCAAAGCTGACTAATATCTTTAAGGAGAAGAAACAGTGATCTTGATTCCACCCCAGAAAGCACTATACCATCACAATATTGTAATAAAATATATAACAGTTGTCTGAGACAGTTGTCTGAGACAACTGTTAGGAGACAATTGATTTGGTGCCATGGAGCAGAAATCACAGAACAACAGAGAACTACTCGATTTCCTTCCCTCTCCCCAACTATTGTATGAACAATTAAAAGACTGAAAAGGAAGGAATAATGTAGAAATTATAACAGTTGTATTTGCTTCGCTCTTACAGTGAACACAGATCACTTTCTTTTACCAGAATACAATGACTAGGAAAATATAAAAGATTCCTTCCTGTACATTAGTGACTGCATAAGCATCTGTAGGGCATAGGAGCTGCAATTCCCAGAACAGACACTGCACAGTGAAGTCCTAAACTGAGTTGATTGGTGAACTTCAAACGTAACACAGACACCTGAAAGTTGCCTAAAGGAAGATAATGCATTGTTCTATGTCTAGGTTACCCCTTTTGTGTGTCACTGCACTGCTGTTGTCCTTTTGTACACTGCTCACCATGAACAATCAGAGAATTTGAGCCTGCCCCTAACTGCTGCATCTACCCCACTTTGGCTGCATGTGAGCATAAGGAAAGAAAGGGAGTGGCTGTGTGCAGTATTAAATTAACACAGGGCTCTGTAGTTTACTTACAAAGTCATGAGAGATTAATCATTGTTTTAAGCATAACTCTGTGATTAAACAGAAGAGTAGTCTTGATTTTCTTTTATTCTTATCTATTGCACCCCTTGGTTTCTATGCCTGGACACTCAATTTCTCCTTTCTTACCTCCCTGCCTCTGTTCCCATCCATTTTACTCTACAGCTCTTCTAGTTCCATTCTTTCAGTTTCTTACATAGACAAAATTTCTATTTTCACAAAATAGAGTGTGACTTTACCTTTGCTATTACCTCATTGTTTTCCTCCTCACATCTGTTTTTGATCTGTATCTTTGGTGCACATTTCACTTGATGCTAGATCTTGATTATACAGCTGACTAAACTCTATACTTTTGCAATCAATGCAAAGCTGCATGACAGATTACATTGTTAAACTGAATAATGTCTATAATTATTTTTATTAAAAGTCTACTAAATAAAACAGGCTAGAAAAAGAACACAGCCAACAAAGTGCAATCAATCTCAAAAGTTTTGTTAAATTTAAAGAAGCAGAAACTGTTGCTGCTCCACTGAACCTGTGGCATTACTTAGTAACAGGCTGCCTATTAGAAGCCTCTTCACCTAAACAGCTTGGAGGTATGAAGTTTTAGGAGCAATAGGAGCCCTTTGAGAAGGTAGGAGAAAACCTTCCCCTCAGGTAAGGCAGGTAGCAGAATGGGATCAGGGAAGCACAAAACAAGTGTCATAACAAGGTCTGTATTTGAAGGGTTTCAGCTCTGCTAAAGTGCAGCAAGCTACGTCAGCCTTGTGAAGTCCTTGTAGTGAAACAAAAAAAAGCAATTCTGCTATTGTTCAACCTCTCTGCTTCTTTATCCATATACTGCTCCTTTATGTATTAGGCTTTATAACTAAGTCTATTAATTATTAGATATACCATGAAACTGTTTTTGTTTATCTACAGAACACATTTTAGTTTCACTGCATTTTAAGTGCAACAGAAAAGTGCCACAGAACTTTCATCAAGATGACATGTTGATGCCCCTTGACACAACCATAACAGAAACAATACATTTTTGAATCCCTGAAACTTTTCTCCCTTGCCCATCCCTGAACTCCACCTAGATCTAACCAGACCAGAGCAAAATATAGACTAGGCAACCAAGTATTTCTCACACACACACAAAAAAAGAAACAAATTTACCAAGAAACAAATTTACCAGTGGCAATGAACCAACACAGGAGGAAAATGGTCATGCAAAAATAACTCTGCTTACATCTAACTGAGGAATGGAGATACTTCTTTGGGACTTACCGGTTTGCTGCTGGGTACTAATGAGCAATTACACTGTGGGACCATAAGGCTTTTCTTGTCCTTCCCTTAAATTTCTTCTGGTCCAGTATACAGCTATGTAAATTTATCTTATATTTGTGAATTAGTTACTTATAATTTCATTCTTGAGTTAATATAACTGAATAACTAGGAGTGGGCAGTTTCCCCAGAGATTAGGAGGCTGTCAGATACCAGTGACATAACCAAATACAATAGAGGTGATCTGATAGGACTATACAGTACAAATAAGAAGTGTGTAGTTGCTGAAACCAATATTGATGTGCTCAGCGCTGAGTTGAGAGGCCACATGTGTCATAATGACACAAGGCCTCTTTAGTTCCAAACTTGGTCCTAATTCAGAGATCTTGCATCAGACTGAGCTGTATGAGATAACCAAAGGACAATAACGTTAGATTTTTCAGAGAATGTCACACTTCATAGAATTTTTCCTTCTGAATACTTAGGAATGTTATTCTTAACACGTGGTTTTTGCTTTCTGTTTTTGCTATCTATTAATGCAGCTGCAGTGCTTGAATATGGTAGTGGGTAGCATTCATGATTATTTTAAAAAATGGCAATTTGTTGAGTTTTAAACTTTTATAAAAATTAACTAACCACTGAAAATGGGAGTGAAAAAGAAGAATTGCACAAAGTCAAAAAAAATCCCAAAACAGAGGAACATTTTCTTCTACTTTTATATAAATCTGGTTACTAAGACATGGTTTGCTATGGTCTTTCTTGACTTTCTTGACTATCTGACATATATACTGAGATAT